GGGGTGGCATAATTGTAAAACCTTTATTTTATAGGAGGAGTTAAGATGTATGGAATGAATATTGAGATTATATTGACGCGGCATTGCTTTAGTTTGAGTGAATGTTTACTCGCTTTAGCACGACACAATTCATGCACAACCCGCGGTCTAAACCCCCCAATCACATTAGGAACCATTGGGAGGTATTGAGAATGGAACCCAAGTGAGCAATACTCGTGGTGATCCATTCCCAAACCTGCTTGCCTTGATTAGTAAAAAGTGCACCAATCGACGTTAATAGTGGGGGATAAGCTCATTTTATCTAATCAAGGTGGGAGCCTTAAGCCTTTAGAATCTCAACCTTTAGGTGTCAAACCTCACTTGTTTTCATACGATGTGTCTTTGTGATTGCCATTCTCCTTCATTTGGTAGGTTTCTATGTATTGTTTCGATATTTCCTTACCTCACTTTCATTTATGCGATTTAAATTTCATGACATGTTTTCTTTGTGACATGAGATGAATAATCGTGATGCGCTATTAGGCTTAGACAATTGGATATGTCCGAGCTCCGAATCATCCTTGTACCAAGAGCTCTTGTAGGGATATAGGAAGGTCTCGAGTCGAAGCATAAGGAGTACATTGAGATGAGGATTGGATACCTCATCTCACTCTTGTATGTGCAGCTGCGCATCGCAATGATCAAAGCATTGTCCCATTTTTTGAACCCTAAGACATCGACATTTGTCTTTGGTCAAAATGAATTGGACCCTACAATTGAGGAGTACGATATTGATGTTGGAAGAGTCGGTTCTTTTGGTCAAGTTAGTCCTCCGATAGATATGGATCACATTCCTCTTTTAAGTCAATTCCTAGGGGTCGATTGTTCCTAAATCAAAGGTGTCTTTAGAGGAAATTGCAACGCTCTCCTTTTCACATTCTTAGAACGACATTTCTTAGGTTTGCCTAAAGAAGCAGGTTATCTAATTCCAAGAGTTTTTCTTCTAGCATTCTTTGATTTTGTAATCTTTCCATACACAAAAAAGACTATGAATCCCTTAATAGTCCACATTGTTACTCTAATTTGCATGTTCAAGAGGTTCACCAACATGATCTTAGGTGAAGCCTTTGTGTCACTCAATAGATCCAAAACGAAAATGGTGGTAGTCTTAAAGCCCCTATTGGTCTACTCAAAATTTGGCTAGCCTCTCATCTCAAAGATTTCGGTTTAAACATGAAAATCCTAGGTGTTTGCAAAAAATTTCATTCTATCATACTTTCTGGTGATACAGAAAAGTTCTTCCCATATTGGTCATTTTCCATGTGGTTCAATTTTCTCAAGAATCTCTCTCCTAATCAAATCCTATGGCATATTCGTTGGCTAAGAATTCCCGAGGTATGCCTTACTAAAGGACTCGACAACCCAATCCCACTTTTGGGTCTTACGGGGTCTACATCTTATTACCCTTTAAGGGTGGTCCGTTGGTTCAAAAGATTCCACCATCCCTCAAGTTGAGGTTATATTGTTTTGACTATAGCAAAGATGTCTTCAAAAATGACCAAATTGCAAATTTGAAAGAAATGGTCAAAGGAATCGTCAATATGTGGAACGATCGCCGCCCTAAACCTATCTCATGATCAACAAATTGGAGTTAGAAGGAGACATGAAGATACACCATGCTACATCCATCGCTTTGTCAAGCCCGAACTCAAGATGGATATCCCCAACGTTCCCGAGAAGCCGACGCATATAGCCGACGCCACACGAGCTCTTAGGGAAAGGGATTAAGTTTTAGCTGAATTGGAACATTAAGCCCAAGAAAACAAACGGATTAAGCTTTAGCCAAATTGATAAGATCCATTTGGAAATTGGCTATATTCCATTGGAAATTCTCTCTTTATGCATTTTCAATTCCTTAGAGTGGATGCATAGGGTTTCCTATTATACATTCTCAGTAATGATGTAGTAGGATTTTCCCTTCATTTTACTTGTAGATGTATAGGGATTTTTTCATAAATTTTGTTGTAATTAGTGATTTTCCCCTTTCATATATTTTTCCGAAATTTTAATGGAATATAGATGGGGCATCTTAATTAATTATCATATGTTACCCCTTCAACTGCATAATTTCTTGTGAAGAAATGTTGATAAGAAATAATTTATATGAGATTGGGATCATATGAATACTTCTTATCTCTATTTCATTGAAAGAAAATATAAAATTGAAGGTTTTTATATTTTCTTTTTGTTCTTTTTTCCATATACTAACTTAACCTCTTTTTTGTTTTTATTAAACAAGGTAATAAAAAATGGAACGAGGGATATCCCATGTAAGGACCCGTTCTCAAGTTAGAATGGATCAAGAAGATGCCAACGTTCGAATCACTAATGTCGAGATCAACTAGCTCAAATAGCTGCCATGTTAGCGGAAATGAAAGTTGCAGCTTCACATGCTACAAATGAGGCACTGCCCATGCCTACTGTGCCACTTGAGCTGCAAATTGATGATCACACTGATAGGGAATAGTTGGAAATGTCACTGTGGTCACACCCGTCGTAATTGATCTCGAATCCACTCCAAAGAAAGAAACTGTATTTCCCAAGGGTGAGGAAAGTGCTAGATGATTGGCGAAGATTGAAGAACACCTATACATGCTGCAAGGCTATCAAATGCAAGGAGTAGACAAACTCTCTCCATATAGCAAAGTGAACACTACAAAAAAACTGATTTTTTCCGACGAAATTTCCAACGAAAAGTTTGGAAAAATTCGTTGGAAAACGAATTTCCAACGAATTTTCCAACGAAAAAAAATTCGTTGGTAATAGGTCGTCGGATTTGCGATGAATTTTATTTCGTTGGAAAATTCGTTGGAAAACTCGTGGCTAAATTCGTTGGAAAAATTACAAAATTTTTTTTCCAACGAAAAATTTGTCGTTGGAAAAATTACAATTTTTTTTTGGTCGAAAAATCGTGGAAATTTTTTTTCCAACGAAATTTTTTTTTTTTTTGAAAAATCCCCCTCGCCGCCGGCGAGGGCCGAGCTCGCCCAGATCTGGGCGAGCTCGAGCTCGTCGCCGGCGAGGCCCAGCCTCGTCGCGGGCTGGCGACGAGGAGGCGATCGAGAAAAGGAGGGGGAGAGGCGGGCGACGAGGGGCTCGGGGGAGCCGAGGAAGGGGTGGCGGCCGGGGAGGGGGCGGAGGTGCGGGGGACGGGGGAGTCGAGGGTGAGGAGGAGGCGGTCGAGGTGGACGAAGTGGCCGAGCTGGAGGCGGTTGGAGAGGATGAGGTCGGCGTCGCAGTCGGAGAGGGAGACGTAGGTGGAGTGGAGGGAGTCGGAGAGGTGAAGGACGAAACCGTGGTTGGGCCAGAGGTCATCGGGGGCGGCGAGGGCGGGGACGATGCCGACGACCTGGAGGAGGGCGGAGCAGTGGTCGCCGGCGACGCGGGCGTTGGAGGAGTTCATGGACTGGAGGAGCTTCAGGAGGATGCCCTGCGTGAGGGTCGCCATCTTCCCCGGTCTGCTCTCTCTGCTCTTCTGCTTCTGCTTCTCTGTCTTTGCGTGTGTACGTGTGTGGTGAAGAAGGTGAGGGACGCGACGATAGAAGAGAGAGGAGAGAGAGAGAGTGACTCTGTCACGAGATTCAAATTCAAAATCCCGCGAATATTACTAATTTTTCAGTGTGTATAATTTTCGTTGGGAAATTCGTTGGAAATTTCCAACGAATTTTCCCACGAAAATAGTACACACTGAAAAAATTCCCCGGAAAATTGAAATTCGTTGGAAATTTCCAACGAATTTTCCAACGAATATAAAAAATGCCGAACAAGACCGATTTTTTTGAATTCGTTGGAAATTTCCAACGAAAAAAAATTCGTTGGAAATTTCCAACGAATTTTCCAACGAAAATAGTACACACTGAAAAAATTCCCCGGAAAATTGAAATTCGTCGCAAAATTCGTTGGAAATTTCCAACGAAGTTTGCGACGAAAAATTTTTCGTCGGAAAACTCGTGGCTAAATTTGTTGGAAAAATTACAAAATTTTTGAATTACAAACTTCGTTGGAAAATTACAAACTCGTGGCTAAACTCGTGGCTAAATTTCCAACGAATTTTCCAACGAATATAAAAAATGCAGACTAATATCGGGTTTTTTTGAATTCGTCGCAAAATTCGTTGGAAATTTCCAACGAAAAATTTTTCGTTGGTAATTACCAACGAATTTTGCGACGAAAAATTTTTCGTTGGAAATTTCCAACGAATTTTACTTTTCGTTGGAAAATTTGTCGCAAATTTGCGACGAAAATTTTTTCATTGTAAATTTTCGTGGCAAAAATCCGATTTTTTTGTAGTGGAAGGTTTCGGAAACTTGCAAAGAACCAGAGTTTGTGAGGAAGTACGATGGCACTAGATGTCCCAAAAATCATCTGAAGTACTACTTGGGAAAGATGGCCCGATTCTCAGACAATATTTCACTCCTCATCGACACATTTCAAGATAGTTCGATGGGTCATGCTTTGTCTTGGTTCATCGAACTGGATTTAGAAAAGATTCATGGATGAGAAGACCTCGCTGATGAATTTTTGCAACAATATAAGTTCAACTTTGAGATCGTTCCTATTAGAGAGGACTTAGTACGAGTGGAGAAAAAGAGAATTGAGTCATTTAAGGCCTTTGTCCAAAGATGGAGAGCCATGGCATCACAAGCGAAACCATTGTTAAGCGAAAAGGAAACTATGCAGTTGTTCATAAAGATGCTACCTTGGAATATCTCCAAAAGCTTTATAATACAAGTTGCCTGACATTCTCACACCTCGTGGAGGTTGGCGAGAGTGGAATAGTCAATTCGTAATGGAAGAATACCCGAAGGTGGTGCTAGAAAATTTCCAATGAAGAAAGATATAGAATCTGCTATCGAAGAAGCATTCATTCAAAATCCTCGTGTCGAAGCCACGTTTGGCTCCCTCGCAAAAATCGGTTGTTCTATCTGGAAGTTCATCTTAAAGTTATGAACAAAAAGGGAAAGCACCGCAAAGGCAATTTTCTCCGTTGCCGAGACCATTATCATAGCTTCTGCCCATGCTCCTCGAATAAAGAATGGTAGCCAATGAGGTTCCACGAGATAATCCTCCAAAGTTCATCGAATTCGACATTACAAAAACTTGCAAATACCATTTGGGCGTGAAAGGCCATAGTACCGACAGCTCTTTGATGTTGAAGATCAAGGTCCAAAGTTTGCTCAACAAAGGGACCTTGTCTTTCAACGATGCTGTTTTGAATGCGCAACAAAATCCATTGCCCGATTATACCGAAGGTGTGAACATGGTTGAGACGAATGCAGTTAAGCAAGCCTTTATAGTAGATATACCCAAGCTGCATGAGATCCGGGTAGCTAGACACTATGAAAAAGGCAATGACATCTTAAGAGAAGAAAAGATGGTGTGCATATCCAAGATGATTGACATGGGAATAATCCAGAACATGGGAGAAGATTCGGATACCATGATGATGTCGGCCGTTATTGATCTATCTTCCAAGAATTTAATTTGCGATTTTGAAGAGAAAGAAGTCGAAGTCGTACCCACTAAGACAATAGTTGAGGAAATGGAGGCCATGAAAATCTCAATGTCGATCTTACACCAGAAGTGGTTAAACCTCTACCTGTCAAAGAAGATGAAGAGGTTGTCTCAAACACTAATTCTGAGTGATGTTAGAAGAACCCATTGGGATTACGATTACTACGTTAAATACTCGCTTCCTCCGAGTTTCTTTGTTGATCTTAAAGACATTGTCCCTGATGGATGGGGTGGTATGGAAGACATCCTGGAACATGAAGAAGGGAGGGTAGTTATGATAACTCCTATTGTGATTGACTTGTCCGAAGAAAATGCCTCCTATGAAATCAAGCCGATGGGGATAGAACCTATTGTGATTGACTTGACTGAAGGAAGTGCTTCCTATGAAATCAAGCCAATGGGTGTAGAGTCTGTTGTAATAGACCTATTGGTAAAAGACTTCGAGTCAATTGAAATCTCGAAAGATGACTTCGAGCCTATTGTGATCAAATTACTATCATTGTGAAGGATGAGGAAATAAGTATTGAAGTTACTCCAATGTTTCATCAAAGAGCTAATCCATGGAATTATGGAACGAATGAAATTGACGCCATCACTCGATCGGGTCGTTGTTATGCACCTTGAGAAGGGGTTGAAAAGAAAGCTATTGATGAAGTCTATTTACTCACCACAAAATCGAAGTTTCCGTAAAATGAAGTCTATTTACCAATGATAATGTCCTCGGTAAGACAATCCAAATATAAAAACCAAAAAAGAGATTAAATAAAGTATTCACTCAATAGATAGATATGCGAATAAATTACAAGATAGAAAGAAATATACATGACTTACTCGACTCAAACTTTTTTGCATTCTCAATGCACTCTTCAACATTAATCGGCACACAAATGGTTCTCAACCAATCTTGAGTGCAAATCAAAACTTCCACCACTCTAAGAGTCAAAGAACTTCGAAAGCCGTCAAGCACATGTCCTAATGTACTAAAAGTCGACTTTGAAGCAATGGTAGTCATAGGAATGGATAAAACATCCCGAGCCATCAAAGATAAGATTTATACTTTGACCCAATACTCTTTCACCGTCGCAACCTACCTTTCGCGTTGGTTTTGCAATTTAAATTCGAATTGATTCTAAAGCTTCTATGTAAGGAGTCACCACTAGCCTAATGAGGTCGGCTAGAAACCAAATGAGGCATTGGAGGATACCTCACTTTCTATGCAACAAGAGAACTAGGCATCAGGGATTTGATTACACTAGTCGTCTAACTAGTACTCTTTCGGTATCTAATCTTGACTATTTGCTAACCAAAGTGTCAAGGTAGCCAATCGAAGATCTTAAGGTCCGTCCTAACCAGTCTAAATATGAAAATAACAACCAGTATATTAGAAGTGCGCAATCAAATAAAATCAAATGAAAGAGCGCAAAGAGCGACCTAGCATCTTCTTTAAAAAAAAGCATGCAAAAGCTCTATTGAAAGCCCTAATGGCTCATTTAATTTGAGCACAATTTTTTAATCAAAGATTTTCTCACATTTTAAAAAGGAAACTACTCAAAATCTAAAATCTAAGCCTTATCCTAATTTTTTTTTAGGAAAAATTAATTTTGTTAAAAAAATAAAATAAAATTTTTAATCTGAATATGGGGACTCGGGTTGGATCTCTAGATCTAGGCTGAGTTGGAACCGACCTAGCTTCACCGACCCGAGTCGCCAAGCCCCCTAGCCGGATTGGGCCTGATATGCGAGCCTAGTCTAGCTCAAAATAAAATAAGAAAAAAGGGCAACCCCTAAAAACTAAATGGCAAAAGGACACTATAAGTGCCATAACTTGTGTACGGTGCTCACTTTAGTGCCAAAAGTTTTCGCCGGCTCACTTAAGTGCCAAATTGGAGGAAAAACGATCACTTAAGTGCCAAAAGTTTTTTTTGGATCACTTCAGTGCTAAAATTTTTGAAAAACGATCATTTAAGTGCTAGAGTTTTTGAAAAACAATCACTTAAGTGCCAATCTCCGGTGAGCCACGTCAGCTTCAAAAATTAATAAAAAAAATGCCACGTGGGATTTCCGGCGAAAAATTGTGTACGGCACCGGAGTTGGCACTTAGGTGATCGTTTTTCAAAAAATTTAGCACTTAAGTGATCGTTTTTCAAAAATTTTAGCACTAAAGTGATAAAAAAAAACTTATGGCACCAAAGTGAACACCGTACACAAGTTATGGCACTTGTAGTGTTCTTTTGCCAAAACTAAATATACTATAAACCCAACCCACTAAAAAAAACCCCAGCCCAAAACCATACTAAACCGACCTAAAACAAAACAGGCATGAGAACACAAGCCTGGCTCGACCCGGTTATGGCATGAATGACCCAGCTCGAAGCCCCCTAGCCTTGCGACACCCTTGTCGCAAGAGGGATGTGGCCATAGCAAGAGATGCCACCTGTCTTCACTCGGCTGAGGGTGCGTCGACTCGACCAAGCTAGGCCGAGTGCTCGGCTCCCGCTTGGCCGGTGGTGACACCGTTGGCTAAGAGCACCCCTCGGCTGAACGCAAACAACTACAAAAAACGATGTGGCAATGGGGATGCGTCGAAGCGACCAAACAGCCAACTCCCGGGAATGGCAAACAGTATAGAAACACCACAACATAATGCAACACGTACAGACGATTTGGTTTTAGCCAAAACGAGGAAACAAAAACCGGATCTCATTCAGGCATTTCCATGAATAGTTAAAGCACGCTACAAAAACGAAGATTTTTGGTTCAACCGAGACTCAAACCCGGGTCGGGACTCTCGACATATGACATATAGGAACACGGTAACAAAATACAAGGGCGACGTGGGCCGGAGCTCATGCGAGCCGCACGACCATGAGCTCCAACCCAGCATGCCCAAAACAAGGCAAACTAGAATGCCGGGAAAGGGAAAGAAAAGGCAAGGGCGGCGGCCTATGGCACTCCCTACTCAGCTTGGTGGCGACAAATAGGGGGGCGAGTTCTATAGATTGGACCACGTCCAATCGCCTCGCCTGCCTCCTAGCCGGGATCCTCGAGAAATCCACCGAATTGAACCAACAAAATGGGAAACTCACCGGAAAACTCGAAATCGTGGAAAAAGGGCCAGGGGCTTGGTGGTGCCGACTAAGGGGTAGGTTTGCATTGGTGACGACCAAGCACCGTTCAGCCGAGATAGATTTCGACTCCCACTTCTCTCATTCCCTCCCAGTCTCTCTCTTAGCTCTTGGTCTCCTCTCTCTCCCTCTGCTCTCAGCATCTCTCTGTCTCTCGGTTTTAAGGCTGACTGACAGGCGCGCATGGCTTCTACCACTACCAGCCTGTCGCGGCCAGTATGATCCCGACCAGCGGGTCACGCTGACCTCTACTCCTCTGCTCACGTCCATTCCCTGCAGCCCTTGTGATGGACAGGGAAGAAAAGGGTTTAAAGAAAAGCAGATGGGGCCGGGCCAAGAAAGAAGGCTGGGCCAAAAAGAAAAGGAAAAAAAAGAATAGGCCGGGCCCAAACGTGTTGGAAAATGGGAGGGGCCGAATTAGACCGATCCAATTGAATCGGGTCGAACCAGCCCTAATATTTTTATTTTTAAATTTTTTATTAATTTTTTAATTTTTTTTTTAAGAAAACCTTATTACTATTTGCTATTATATATTTTTTTATATTTTCATAAGGAAAAGACAACCTACTGAACCAACGAAATTAGGCATCAACATCCACCACATCAAAAGGTCAAGATTAAAGGTATCTTCACTTTCAACTTTAAGAAACCGATCAAGTTCATATTTGTTTTCATCAAGCACTATTTTCTTCGGGTAGAGAAAGCTTTTTCGCCAAGTTTGGATATCATACTCATTGTTACCTTCATTGTCATCAGCATTGGAACCACTACTACTAGTACTCACACTTAAACCACCAAAATTTCGTTTACTAGAAGAACCAACAAAGGATTGCTCATAAAATTCATACAAATGCTCCAAGGCAAGCTTCACATTATCATGCGTCTCATCAATTTTCGCTTCATCATCATAAATTTGCCCATAACAGAACTTCACATAATTCAACTTTTTTGTAGGATATAATGCAATCGCAATCAACGCCATCATATTTACTCTATCCAAACTCCCATAATATTTTTCAAACTTCTCTTTCATCTTTATATCCATAGCTTGAAGCTTAGGGTCCAAAGTATTTGCTGCATTATTCAAATATTTATACAAAAGAGCTATCCCCTCAAAATAATCATTTGAAGTAATATATGAACTCTTTGACATCTGTTTGGTGGCATCATAAAATTGTTGTAGAAATTTAGAAGGAATTATGACATTTTCCCAATCTTCATCTTAGGGAGAATCATTGTCAAACTCCCTTAAGAAAGTTAAATCTCTTCTTCCATCCTTTCAAAAGCTTTCATGAACTTTATGACGGTGTCTAACATTAGGTAAGTGGAGTTCCATCTAGTGGCAACATCAAGACAAACCGAACCCTTGTACATAATCCTTTCACTCTCAATACAAGATTGAAATGTTTTAGCTCTTATGGGAGAACTCCTCAGATTCCTAACTATGTTTCGGATACGTGCAATAGAATCGCGCACCTCATTTAATCAATCTCTTACAATCAAGTTTAATAAATGAGTAGTGCACCTCATATGTAAAACATCACCATTCAAGATCAAAAACCTTTCTCTTGAAAATTTTTCCTTCAAATAACCAACGGCCATATCATTGGAACTAGCATTATCCATGGTTATTGTAGACGTCTTATTTTCTATTCCCCACTTATAAATGCATTTCTCCACCATTTTTTCAATCTCCCTACTCTTGTGACTATGCCTCACCACAAACTTGATGATTCTTTTATGCAACTTCTAGTTTTCATCAATAAAATATACAATAAGACATAAATAGTTCAAGTTTTGAATGGAACTCCACATATTAGTCGTGAATGCAATCCTAGAATTAAGCTTATCCTCCTGGAGGATAAGCCTCGGTGTTAAGAAATATTACTTGGTGATAGTAGATGATTATATTATATTTACTTGGGTTATATTCCTTGCACATAAGCATGAAGCATTTTGATATTTCGTGAAATTTGCAAAAAGAGTTCCAAATGAAAAAGGGATATAGCACTACTTTAACAACTGATCATGATTGAATATTTGAAAATTACGAGTTTTTCAAAATTTTGTGATGAAAATGATTTTTGAGCACAACTTTTCTGCTCCCCGCCTGCACTCACAACAAATTGGAGTTGCAGAGAGAAATAATTAATCTGTCTCTACAATATATTGGCAAGAGCAATCTATATAAGCATATAAATATTAGACGTTATTTTACTCGAGATCATGATAATGGCAATTTGTATATTCATTTTCATGAATTACGACAGACCAATTCGGATGTATGAAGTCCTACTTGTTTCGCCTCTTCCTTTCTTCAGAGAGACGAATTGCAAAGCGACTAAGCGCATCTCCATTGGTGCCTTCTCCTTCAATCTCTTCAAACCTACCAGTCTCCAAGTTTACCCTCGACACCGGTTTCTGCAATAGCATCTGCCCTATTTCCATGAGCCTCTGTAGATTCTCCGGGGTCGCAACATCAACTGATGATTCTTCTCCGGTCAAGGTGTCAGCCTATTTCGGAGCAACCCGCATGAAATGATTTCGAAATAAGTCACGTGGTCGCGAGCCAGTCTAAAGCACTACAATGACCATGTTTCATGAAGCTAAAAGCAACGTTAGGAATCCATCTCGTACCTGAATCCGGAGGTAATTGTATTTGCAATGTAAGAACTGGAAGAGAGTTGACAAGTGAATATCGACCATATCGGAGCTCGCATCACTGAAGATATCAACTAACGGAGTGAAACCATTGTGAAAGATCCAATTGATGAGTCCCCATCTAGAAGCCTCGGTTGCACTATACTTCTCTTCATACTTGGCCACACCAGTACCAAGTGATAGCACTAGTATTTGATCGGTCTCTCTTAGATTTATGTTCTTGAACTCTTCGTTTTGCAAGAGGCTCTCTCTCCTAATGTGGCTCAGAGCAACTAGGGTCTGCAAAACACAAGATTGCATATTGTTAGTTTTCTCTTTTCTTGCTTCTTTTGGCCTGAGCTATTAACTGGTTTTGATAAGCTTTATAACAAACGAAACTTGATAATGTTACGATATAATTGAAAAAAAAAACTTTGCTTGTACTTTTCTGTCATATAGTCAGACACCAAATTAGGGCATCTTAGAAAAGTTTAGCAAATAATAACAGTGTAATGCCATTATGCATTCATAGTATCATGGTATTATACCCGAACCTTCATTCTCGTTCTTGCACTTACAGGATTATTTGCGGCGACCCCACCGTCAATGAGATCGAAGCTACGAGTCTTCCCGTTCTTGTCTCTAGTCTTGAAGCAGTGCGCCGGGAGGTACGTCGGAGCTGCAGAGGTGCCAATGCAAACATCCACCAACCGCGCATTCTTTAGAGGATTCGCTCTTGCCTGTCTCCCATCAATCGTAAGAAACTCGAAAGAGTCATAAGGAATTCAAACTAAACCGATGGTAAAAGGATCCATATCTATCTAGAGTCGGCAAAATCAGGGTTATACGGACGAGTTCGGGTTCTTACGTCGTTGGTAGAGAAGATGACCGGTTGGAGACGCTTGATGTCGAAAGCCGGGACGATGACATTGGTCAAGGTTTGACTGAGAGTGTTGTCTCCGAGCAAGCCGTTGACTATGGATCGCAACTTCTCACCGTCATACTTTGGCCCCGTGATTGCGTCCACCGAGCTTATTATTGAACTCATCAAGTCATTGCGACTGTTTGAAAGTTGAATAAGACACGTTATAGATTTCCATGAGAACCGGGATACAGTGAACATGATATCGAAAGCGAGTCCAACTGATTAAACAAATCCATACTACAAAATGAATGCCAATGTTATTAATCCGTAGTAAGTGATATCATTTGAAACGTTTGATTAATTAACAAACATCACTTATGATGATTATATTTATAGTAACAATTGCCTCTAAAAGGGGTACATAGGACTCTGGCGTGTATGGGATTGATAATTCTCCTTGCAATGAGTTCTTTTCTTGCACTCTACATTTATATTGCTTCCAACTAGGATTTTGTGCTTGTCTCATTAAGTAATATGAGGTTTTTATTTCAAAAAAATATAGTTTAATGAGCTTTAAATGTTTCTAATTATCAATTATTGAAAACTCTAACAGTATTTGTTACTCTTCCTATTAAGTATTTCTCCAGAAGATTATTCTTATTTTTCTCTCAATATTAAAATAAATTTGTTGATTACATAAAATTTCCCTATGTCATATAACAAAGATAATTAGGAGTTTTATAAGTATTATCGAGTTCCAATTTTAACATTTTCAATATATAATATGAACTAAGAATTCCGCCCTTATTATATTTAAAAGAGCAAGTGGTATACAATACAACAAGTAATTTACACCAAAATAAATATTCCGAATCTGTTCAAATAAAAGAATTCACTTTCGATTAACGCACAGACATACTATAGGCTTATCTGATTACAGACATTTTAAGCGACTTCTCCATCGTACTTTCCTCTTGAGATTATTCCTTGAATGTTCAAGTGACACAAAGAATTATATTAAAAAAGGAAAAGGAAAGGGTTTAACATAACTTACTTTTTCTGTGGAAATATTTCGGGACAATGCTCTAAGTAAAATTTATTAATGTCACAAGCTGCAAACATTGGACGATGGTCCTTATTTGGTGCTGAAATCATGGCCGTCACCAATCCACCCGTGCTTGTCCCTGCAATAATGTCAAAGTAATCTGCAATTCTCGAATCCGGTCCGTCCAGTTCCTGTATATTTCATCAACTTTAGACCACTGCTATGATCACGCAAAGGACTGTTCATATACATGTAAAACTACTCTTGTTGATTCCTAACAGCAGTTTAGAATGTGAAAAGGGGTGCTGTAATTTTTATGAGCTGCTTGGCAAACTCTTCACAGTTGCAACACACCATCAAATCCACACTAGCTTATGCAACTTTCGCCAAGCTGCCTCACCCAGCATTCAGCCATCTGCCTACACCGGCAGTGCGATCAGATTGGGATACTGCCACACTCGATATTATACTAGTCCGTTGTCGAAGGTCATCCAACATCAGCCACAGAGAAAACATTGACAAATAAAATAAGTGGATGCTATTACTTGAAGCTTGGATTCGAGAAAGGCAAGGATCGTGCCGGGAATAATCCCTCTCACACCGCCTCCATCAATGCTCAGGACCGTCACTATCTTCCCACTTGGAGATCCACTTCTTGCCATGGACATGACTGAGAAGCTCGGCTTAAGAAGATTGAAAACACAACGTGTAGTTCACAAATTAATCTGAAATTATTAACAGTTAAGAGACGTGCAGTGTGTGTATATATATATACACATTCATACATATACATATACATATACATATACATATCCTTGTAGTATTTGCATAGAATTTGCAGATGTTTGGGACGGAGTCTCGCATGGAGGTAGTTTATCTACTTCTCTGATTCTTGAAAGTTACTTCTGGGAAAAGTATATAATTCTAAGAACAAGAATATGCGAGCAGAGTCGAAGCTTCTCCTTTTGCTGATTGGGCCAACTGATGGAAGTGTTAAGCGGCAACCTTGGAAGAAGAGGGGAAGGTTTGCCGGCATCAAAGCTCTTTGATACCTATGATTCTAGTATTTTCACAGAAGGACGTTGTAGACGTTCAAGACGGAGTCTCGTATGGAGGTAGTTTATCGTATTCTTTGATTCTTGAAAGTTACTTCTAGGAAAAGTATATAATTCTATAAGAAAAAGAATATGCGAGCAGAGTCAAAGCTTCTCCTTTAGCTGATTGGGCCAACTGATGAGAGTGCTAACTGCTAAGCGGCAACCTTGGAAGAGGGGAAGGTTTGCCGGCATCAAAGCTCTATGCCTCTATAGCCCTATAGCTGTACAAGAGATTTGATAGGTTGAATGAAACTGGAATCTCATTGGAAGTTGTTGGAATAATGAACTCTCTCAATTGTGCCTATTCAGTTATCGAGCTGTTTTCTTTTGGCAACTTCTGTTTCTGTCACACCTTTTGTTGATTATTCCAAAGTCTTTCCATCCACTTTAGTGAAAAAAACACACAGTGATGGAGCCGAAAAAAATGAAGGAACACGTAAAGTCTTATGCAGACTTCAACTGGAGATGGCATGAATGTGAAGGGGAGTTCTACATTCCCATTTGTTTGTTTTTCTCATGCACCTGTATCTCGTATACCGGCAGTTTCCTATATCAATACGTGCCGGGCAAAACATAACTTAAAGTTATGCATAGGGACCCTATCTTTTATCCTGGACGCGTAATCCCAAAAATAATTTGATCTTCAAGCTACAACAAATTACCTTAAATTTACCATCAATTGTTGTTTCAAAAGACGGGTACGATTGCATTGCATTGGTCATATATACTCATAGAGGCACCATTAGATATCTATTGGTAGTGAAATAGCGGTACAGAACGCATTACGAGAGGCAACCAACTTGGCCCAAGGAGAAAAATGAGATAAAAAAGCTACTTATCGGACCAGGCAGTCAGTCAAAATTGCAATCCAGATTGCGCTACAAATCTGGATGTGGCGAGAGGATGTCGATCTCGACTGGACATAGTCCCGCACTCATTTAGGATCGGAGCTAAAACCATGCATAACATTGTTTTACTATAGGAAAAATGACATAAACAGTCCCTGAACTTTGGCTCAATATGCAATTTGGTTCATGAAGTTTTAATTTGTTCAATATAGTCCCTGAACTTTAGTCTAATGTTTAATTTGGTCGCTGAATTTTTAATTTGTTCAATGTAGTCTCTAGACTTTTGGTACATGATTAATTTAGTTCTTAAACTATATGAAAATGTTCAATGTAGTCCTGAGCTAAAACCATGCATAACGTTGTTTTGCTATACTAATGACTAAACAAAATTTTTTATTAGGCCTAACTAAACAAAGCCAAGCATGGGCCGCCATTACCGGGCCCATATGCTTCGGTGGCGCGTAGAAAGCAAGCTGGAGAGGGCGAATCCGATGCGTCGCGCAAAGCATGAGCGCACTGCGCACCCTGCGCATCCTAATTCCACCTGTTCCTTCTCCTCCTCCTCCTCCGTCGTTCTCGCCGTCGCCGTCGCGTTCGCCACGCGCATTGTCACTCCCGAGCTCGAGATCGGGGCTCACAACCCTGTTCTTCGCTCCACGGCGGTCGAGGGCGCAAGGTCCGGGGCCGAATCGCGAGCCTGCCATGTCGGATTCGAACTCGAGGTCTGACCCTGTCCTAGATTCATTTCGGTGCGTGCGTTCTGGTTGTTTGGTCACGTTGGTGACGATGACAAATGATCTATTGACTGTTCCAATCGATTGAGTGGACTTTCCGTGTCGTTTCTTTCGTTTCGATTGATTCCTGTGCGCGCGTTCTGGTTTTTCCCCGGTCACCTGTCAGCGTTGCTGCTGGTTTGGATTGCAACGGCGCTGCTCAATCGGTTCCGATCGGCGCTGACTATGCCGAAATCGTCGTCGTCCGTCACGGTGAAACGGAGTGGAATGCTGATGGAAGGATTCAGGTTTTCTATGCTTCTGGAATTCTCTTTAGTTGTGTAGAATTTGCTGATTACCTATTGCAATACAGAAGGCCCGTGTCGCACAGTATAGGATTGTTGCCCATTGTGCGACAAGCGAAAAGAATACAAATGCAAATGCTAATTTAATAGAGGCATCATTTTGGTGAATGATATCAGTTCTTGTCAAGTTATGTAGCTGCAATGCTGCGTTGGGGCTACATATGTCTGTAATTGCATAGTGAATCCACCATTACTAGCATTTGCTTGAGAATACAGCTTATTTTCATTCTGCTCTTTTCCTATGTAAAAATGGAACCTTTGATGGCAACGTAACATTCAGGGTGAGCCAAAAATATGATAGAGAATACCTAATGGCAAAGAATATCTACACTGTACCTCGAATGGTTCATGGTTTCTATACAGTTTTTATGATTAAGTGATCAATATTCATAACATGATAATACATGCCTAATAGGATTAGAGAAAAATCGTTACTAGGTTGTGGTTGCTCGGCATTTATTTATGAGTTTAAGCATATATATCTCCAATTGTGTTGGTATCTGCCATCTCTTGCCTTTTGTTTAAGAACTTGTTTCTGCCTCTTTCTCTATTTACCTTCGTTTGATTTATTTCATTACATTTAACAGGGACATCTGGATGTCGAATTAAATGAAACTGGGAGGCAGCAAGCAACTGCAGTGAGTATTTTATGTGATATGTTGTCCCTTTCTTTGGACTGACCAACTGGTTTATCTCCTTCTTCTAATGTTATCCCTGAAAGGTGGGTGAAAGGCTTTCCAGAGAAGGAAAAATCTCTGCAATTTACTCATCCGACCTAAAACGAGCTTTTGAAACAGCAAATTCGATTGCAACTGCTTGTGGTGGACTGGAGGTATGAATGTAGCGGGAACATTCTTGATCTGGCATTCCATTTAGGGTTAATACCATAAAAAACCCCAAATTATGCCCACTATAACACAAATACCCCGAACTTTTTAGTGTCACTAAAAACCCTAAACTTGCCTATTGTGACATAAATACCCTGAACTTTTGTTTGTGTCATAAAAAATAAAAAACTTATATCAGTATGACAAATATACCCTGGATGGAACTGAAATAGAGGGTATATATGTCACACATTTATAAGTTTGGGTTTGTTCGTGACACAAAAAAAATTTAGGAGTAATTGTGTCACCGTGGGCAATTTGAGAGTTTTTGGTGACACAAAAAAAGTTTGGGGTAATTGTGTCGCAGTGAATATAGTTTGGGGTTTGTTGTGGTATTTGCCCTTCTATTTATGAGAATTACACGTGAATTTTGGCATTATCCATTTGGTGGTACAAAAACCCAATATATACGTAAATTTCAGACAGTGATGTAGAGCTAAAAGATTTCATTAGATTTTATCTTTACTTGTTGGAAAGTTCAGAATGTTGTAAAATTTTTGTTTATTCTTACAATTCGATTAGTAATTGGGTCTTCAGAAATATCTTGAATATTTTTTTTTTCAAATGAGAATCTAGGTTATCGCGGATCCAAATCTTCGGGAAAGAAATCTAGGGGAGCTTCAAGGACTTCAGCTACGTGCTGCATCTAGTGTCTGTCCTCAAGCCTATAAAGCCTTTCTGTCGCCCAAGACAGATCAAGAAATCCCGGTGGGTTTTGATTTGCACTGACCTCAACATAAAGCGCCCAACTTTGGTCAAATTTCATTTTGCCACTAAGTTTAAGTGTGGAACTATCCATAATGTGGATTTTGCTAAATTCGTAGTTTTTGTCATTGGAGTTGTTAAATCGTTCAGGTGATGTGTTCTTTTCTATGTGTTGTATACACAGCTAAAAGATTTCAGTCCCATTTGTTAGCCTGTTTAACGGTTTCGCATCTTACATGTTCTTTGTGTAATCTGTTAAAGATAGTAAAGCTTGTGTCTCATAGGTTAGGTGTTCCTAGATAGACATTTACTGAGAAAGAGCTTGGCAGTCTGCAGGGTTCAAATTGGTTCATAAGTGGAATGTGTGACCAGTGTTTCTCTTGTTTCTTCTACACACAGGGCGGTGGTGAAAGTATTGATCAGCTTTATCAGCGCTGCACTACATGCTTGCAAAACATCAGTATGAAGCATAAAGGTAAGAGATCATTTATGTTGCTTATTCGCCAGAATTGGGGAGAGTTAGCTAAATGCTATGTTAGTAGTTTTATACATAAAGTGACTCCTCGCATAATGTTGACTGGGCACTATGATACTTATATTTTGCCAGTTTAAAATTCCCGTAGCTTCTCTCTAAAGGAGTTTTTCCTGGATCGCCTTTTTCAGTCTTGAAAACAAAGCATCACTGGACTTGCTGCACAGCTTTAATTGTTGTTCTAATGTTGCTGATGCTCTTTGCTTTTAAATGCCCTTTCTTCAGTTTGCTTGCTTTGTTATAGCTGAAGAAAGACGAAGATGATAATGACAATGATTTAAATTCGCTTTCTGTTTACTCCTAAAGAATTCTGATACAATTTAAGCTGGAAAGAGAAATTGCAAATAAAACTTTTCTTTCCTGCGCAGGAGAGCAAGTAGTAGTGGTCACTCATGGTGGTGTCATCCGATCGCTTCATAGGCGGGCTTGCCCAAAAACGCGGTCTGGTGGGAAGGTGCTGAATACTTCTGTCAACATTTTCCACTTGTCTGATGGGGACAAGTGGGTATTAAAATCTTGGGGCGATGTTAGTCATCTCAGGCAAACAGAATATCTTGAAACAGGGTTTGGTGGGGATAGATCTTCTGGTTAGATCACCTATGCTAAATGCTGTTCCAGTAGCCCTACTAGTAATGAGGTACGGTAAGACCAAAATCAGTGGGGAGAATCGAGAGGTAGCGTATATTGATTCTTCTAACGACAGGCATTATTTATCTTAATGGCCCAGAAGAGTCCCACTCTATGGTCACTCAACCGCAGTGTCCGGGTGCCCCAATTGTTAGAAGTGCCCACATAAATTTAAATTGCTTGACATAGTCAATTGTGTCCAGCCACTTACTCAACTCCTTTTATTAATTATACAAATCTGATAAATGCATCAGTACCTTCAGGTATTGGTAATTATGTCTGATTAATATCATTTGGCGGTTCTATATTTGCAGCTTTCTTTATAGGTTTCTTCTTGAGCGTTGTGCACTTAGCATGCACGAATTCATTTGGTGAGGTCTGCTTGATTGTGGTCTCCCTTGGATAGCTTTTCTGTTTTACCCTCTTATCGCCGATGTTTGGTGTTTTTGGTTCACTCAGCTCCATTTGTGGCATTCAGTCCTATTTCCATACATAAGATAATCTAAGGTCTGTCGAATCGTGGATAGATATATGTTTGGATAGTTTTTGAGACCTAAACCTGTCGGATTGTTTGCCAATTGTAAATCCTGGCATAAATACCACGAAGACATACACGAGTTTTCATCAGTTTCATTACATTGCATTCTCTATATTTTTAGAATACAAGTTTGCATCTTCGAGCCTGTTTAGCAAGCTGAAATGACCTAAATACCTTCCTTTAAAGAAAAAGCCCCAAAAAATTCCTACTCTCGGACCTCCCACCTACCAGCACCCTCCTCCACCACGGACCACCAAACCCGTTGCCTCTCACGACGTCGTCGTCACGGCAGGCCTTGAGAAATGTTCTTGAGAAAGACTGTTCAGCTAATGCATAGAGATTCTTGCGAGTTGTTCCTATTTGTCTCTCTTTTTCTCCCTTTCCATTTGTTGGATTCCTATAGTTCGTGAGCATTAAAGAGAGCATTGTGACATGGCTCAAGGGAGCGAAGGGCTCCGAGCCTGTCCGTGAACGAGACGTGGCCCGTCCATGAATGGGACGTGGCTCATCCATGGACGGGACGTGGCTCATTCGTGACTAGGCGCAAGCACCGTTCGCGACCCTTCAGTTCTCTCTGACACATGACCCTGCAGCTTTCCTTGGCAGGCGTCCCTTGAGCTTCTCCACGCCCCTAGGGTCTTTGGAACTTATTGTATAGCTATGTAATGATTATATCGGTTCAAACACCATTGTTGGATCGTGAGGGGATCAACGGATCAGATTAGACCCGCACTTGTATATATAGGGGACTTTCCCCCTTCATTTGGACATGATCATTCGCAAGGAAATACTACTACGATGCTTTCTCTCTATTCTGGTGAATCGAGTGTGTGAGTATGTAAGGCTAACTTAGGAGTGATCCTAAGGCTGCGCGAGTGTGGAATCGTTGTGAATTGACCAACCCATGACAAGTGGTATCAGAGCCTTCGTTCCTAACACAATCGCTGACCCACTTTCCAGTGCCGCAAATGTTCAAGGTGAGGACCGCGAGAATCGTGGAAGGGTGACTAAGAGAGTTGGCACCCAAACTGGGAGGAGTCGTGCTGCCCCCAGCTCGAGGGATCTAATGGGTGACTTGGAACGTCAAATGACGATATTAAAGGGAACCGTCATGGACGTTCGAGGGATAGTCGATGACCAGCAACAGATCGTCGAAGGAGTGGAGACCGAAAGGGAGGAGCTCTTGGCCGAGATGCAAGAGCTCAAAGCCGACATGGGAGAGCTCCGCGATGAGGTGCTGGGGCCCGTGACTCACAAGCTGCAGCAACGAGATGAGACTTGGGAGGCCGCGATAGCGGCCATGCGCGCTGAGATCACCAAGCTCAAGGGAAAGCTCGCGAAGGTAGAAGCAGCACGCGTGAATGGAGTGATTACTATGCATCTACGCATGGACGCACCCAAGTCGAGAGAGTTCAAAGGCTCGCGGGTGGCCAAAGACGTGGACAACTTCCTGTGGTTCATGGAGTGGTACTTCCAGGCCACGGGGATGAACGACGACACGACTCGGGAAAACACAACAGCGATGTATTTAGCTGATAATGCTTTGCTGTGGTGGCGTCACAGGTTAGACGATAGGAGTGGCGACCCTATCACGACCTAGGCCAATTTTGTCGAGAAATTTCGGCAAAACTATTATCTCACCTATACGGAGGAGGAAGCTCGCGACAATCTCAAGCGCCTTGAACAAAAGGGTACCATACGTGAGTATGTGAAGCGGTTCTCAAAGTTGCTACTCCAAATATCGTCAATGAATGACACGGAGGCGTACCACCAGTTCATGAGTGGCCTCAAGCCGTGGGCCAAACAAGAGCTCAAACGGTGCAACGTGAGAGATCTCACGACGGCCACTTCCGTGGCGGAGTTCTTAAAGGAACCTAAAGTTTCGTTTACAGCCAAACCTGACTTTCGTCCGATGGATAGGGCTAATGGTGGGGGAGACCGGAACAAATACAAACGCCCGAATGGAGGCAAGCCAACACAGGCACCACCTAGAGCCCAATTGGAGTCAAGCAGTTGGAGACAACAGAAGGTACACACCTTTAAGTTCTTCTTTTGCGACTGGCCACACATGACTCGGGAGTGTCCTAAGAGAGGCAAGCTGGCGACCCTATGCAAAGAAGATAAGCCGTGAGAGGAGGTGCGGTTGGGTTCGCTGCGAATCCTTAATTCAATTAAGGCCAAGGAGTCTAAAGGAATGATGTTTGTGGACGTGAAGATCAGGACTACCACGATGAGTGCGCTCATGGATACCAGTGCGTCCGACCTCTTCATATCCTAAGAGGCCGCAAAGAAGCTGAATCTTAGGGTCGAGAAAGGAGAAGTTGGTTGGCTCAAAACAGTAAACTCCAAGGAGATCCCGACTAGCGGTGTGGCTACGGACGTAGAGCTTCATCTTGGTCCACGGACCAGCAAGGAAGACATCGAGGTAATCCCCCTTGACGATTATGATCTTGTGCTGAGTTTGGGGTTCCTTGATCGTATAAATACGGGTGTAATGCCCTTTGCGGATTGTATATGTATTATGGACACACGATGCCAATGCGTGGTCCCAATCCATCGCAAGTCGGGACGCGATCGGAAGATGATCTCGGCTATGCAGCTTAAGAAGGGAGCAAACAAGGAACAAGGGCGAGGTGGCCTTCTTGGCAACCTTGAAGGTTGAGGATGATAAGGGCAAGGGCAAGAAGAGTGAAGTTCCAATCGAGGTGGCATACGTCCTCGATTCGTTCCAAGACGTGATGCTGCCCGAGCTGCCCAAGAAGTTGCCGCCTCGAAGAGAAGTGGATCATAGGATCGAATTGGTGCCCGATGCTCGACCATCGGCCATGGCGCCCTATCGCATGGCACCGCCCAAGTTGGAGGAACTACGGGCAACTCGATGCGGGGTACGTTCGGCCATCCAAAGCTCCGTTCGGTGCTCCGGTCCTATTTCAAAAGAAGCACGACGGGTCCCTCCGTATGTACATCGATTACTGGCGTTAAATAAGCTCACCATAAAGAATAAGTATCTGATCCCCCTCATTGCAGACTTATTCGATCAGCTTGGGGAATCCCGATGGTTCACCAAACTTGATCTTCGGTCAGGTTACTACCAAGTACGGATCACCGAAGGGGACGAGCCGAAGACCGCATGTGTAACACGATACGGGTCATATAAGTTCCTCATCATGCCATTTGGCTTGACCAATGCGCCGGCCATATTCTGCACCTTAATGAACAAGGTAATTCACTCGTTCATTGACCGGTTTGTTGTGGTTTACCTTGACGATATTGTTGTCTATAGCCGGACACTCAAGGAACACGTCGAGCACTTGAGTCTTCCAGGTCTTGTGTGAGAATGACTTGTTCGTTAAACGAGAGAAATGTGCCTTTGCCCAATGGGAGGTGCCGTTCTTATGGCATCTCGTTGGGAATGGACAAGTACAGATAGACGTGGCCAAGATCCGTACCATTGTCGAATGGGAACCCCCGACCAAGGTGACTGAGCTGAGGTCGTTTCTCGGCCTCACAAATTACTATAGACGCTTTGTTTGGGGATATTCAAGCATCATCGTGCCACTCACAGACATGTTGAAGAAAGAAAGGCCGTGGGAGTGGACAGATCAATGCCAAGAAGCGTTCGATCGGCTGAAGCGGGCCATAACCGAAAAGCCAGTGCTCGTGCTGCCCGATCATGCCAAGCCATACGAAATAGAGACTGACGCTTCCGATTTTGTGATAGGTGGTGTTCTCAAGTAGGATGGACACCCGGTGGCGTTCGAGTCTCGGAAGTTGAATGAGACCGAGCGACATTACATGGTCCAAGAAAAGGAGATGACCGCGGTGGTGCACTGCCTTCGTACGTGGAGGCACTATCTCCTGGGATTGAAGTTCATCATACGGACGGATAATGTGGCCACTAGCTACTTTCAGACCCAAAAGAAGCTGAGTCCGAAACAAGCTCGGTGGCAAGACTTCCTAGCCGAGTTCGACTACGTGCTGGAGTATAAACTAGGAAAAGCCAATTCAGTGGCCGATGCCTTGAGCCAGAAGATGAAGTTCGCTAACATCATAAGTCGACCCAGCTGCCCATGGATCGATCGTATCAAGAAGGGGCTCAGGCATATGATCCAACAACCCAGCAACTCATTGGGTACGCGTGGAAAGGCAAAACTAGGTAATTCTGGTGGGAGGACGATCTCCTCTACACTAAGGGACGACGACTATATATGCCGCTCTACGGGAAATTAAAGAAGAAAGTGTTGCGAGAGTGCCACGATTCCAAATGGGCAGGACATCCAGGGAGTCACCACACTATGATGCTCGTTGAGGACTAATACTAGTGGCCTCACATGCAGGACGACGTCGAGGCGTATGTGACAACATGCCTCGTGTGCAAGATAAGATCGAGCAATGTTCGCCATCGAGGCTCCTCGAGCCACTTCTCGTCCTGGAACGTTCATAGGAGAGTGTCTCCATGGACTTCATTGTGAATTTACCCAAGTCCGAAAGATGTCGGACCCTCATGGTCATAGTGGACCGATTCTCTAAGTACATGACATTCGTGCCTGCAACAAAGGATTGTCCGGCTGAGGAGGCGGCCAAATTATTCGTCAAGCACGTCATCAAATACTGGGGAGTCCCACGGAAGATCATGAGCGATCGCGATTCTCAGTTCACCGGGCGATTTTGGACCGAGTTCTTCAAGTTGCTGAGGTCGAACCTAAACTTCTCCACGAGTTTGCATCCCCAGATCGACAGGCAGATGTAGAGGGTGAATGCACTTCTCGAAAATATATCTCCGATACTATGTAAGCACAACGCAAGCAAATTGGGCGAGACTGATCGATGTAGCTCAGTTCTCGTACAACTTACAGCGGAGCGAGTCCACAAACCAGAACCCGTTCGAGATCGTGACGGGGCAGTGGCCACTCACTCCGAGTACAGTTGCCTCGGGGAATAGCCCGTCCGCATACAAATTCGCCAAAGAATGGCATGAACAAGCAAACTTGGCGCGGACGTGCCTACACAAGGCCTCCAAACGCATGAAGAAATGGGCCGTCAAGAAGCGACGGCATGTGGAATTCCAGGTGGGGGACCAAGTGTTAGCCAAGCTACACACGGTCCTCCGATACAGGGACATGCACAAAGACCTTATCCGTCGCTACGAGGGACCCTTTTGAGTGCTCAAACAGGTAGGGAAGGTCGCATACAAACTAGACTTGCCATCAAAGCTCAAGCTACACCCGATATTCTATGTAAGTATGCTCAAGCCTTTTCATATAGATGAGGGAGACCCGGACCGAGAGGAATCGCAGCGGGTACCGCTTGGGGTAAAAACCTTGTATGACCTAGACTTCGAGTGCATCATGGCTGACCGGATCATACGGAAGAAGTATCGGGCGTTGAGACGAGAATACTTGGTTCGATGGAGAGGTCTTCCAGAGAGTGTAGCAAGCTGGGAACCCTTCGAAGCTTTTTGGCAGTTCCAAAAACACATTGATACATTTCATGGCGAAGACGCAACGAGGGCGTCGCCCAATTAGGTGGGGGAGAATGACACGGCCCAAGGGAGCAAAGGGCTCCGAGCCCATCCGTGAACGAGATGTGACCCGTCCGTGAATAGGACATGGCCTATCCATACACGAGACGTGGCCCATCCGTGACTAGGCGCGAGTATCGTCCATGACCAGGCGCGAGCACCGTCCGTGACCCTTCTGTTCCCTCTGACACACGACCCTGCAACTTCCCTTGGTAGGCATCCCTTGAGCTCCCCCACGCCCCTAGGACCTCTGAAACTTCATGTATAGCTATGTAATGATTGTATTGGTTCAAACACCATCATTGGATCATGAGGGAATCAACGAATCAGATTAGACTCGCACTTGTATATATAACGGACCCTCCCCCTTCATTTGGACATGCTCATATGCAAGGAAATACTATTACGCTGCTTTCTCTCCATTTTAGTGAATCGAGTGTGTGAGTGTGTAAGGCTGACTTGGGAGTGATCCTAAGGCTGCGCGAGTGTGGGATCGTTATGAATCGACCAACCCATCACAATTGCATCCTCACATACCAAGTTTCTGATTCGACTGAGGAAGAATTAGATTAGCTTGTTTCTCCCTTCCTATCCTTCGTAACGAGGTATTTAACCTCGCCAAGATCGGAAAATATGTTCATTTTATTTTATCGTTCGACAAATCGCCACATCATTTTATAAGTGAAATCAAGTTGAATATTATACATACACACACCCCTAATGACATCACCTTGCATACCTTTGGGGTTGCTTACGTCGTGTGCGTATTTTACATCAAACAAGGCAAACAAGTTGAAAGAGATCAAATGGAACAAAACTAAGGTTCAAGAGTCAACTTGAATATTGAGCGAAAGTTTGAGGACCAACCATGCCATTTATCCCTTTCTTTTTTACCATGTTATCTATTAACAGACATTTGGTGTCAAAACTTGGTGAGAAGCATGATTTACTCGATTGTTATTTTCTTTAGGATATTTTCATTCTTCGCTCTCTTATTTATGAGATTTGAAAAAATTTAAGTCCTTGAATTCTCAATTTGTTTTATCAAATCCTTTAATTTTTGTGTAATCGAGTAATTTTGGTTAAGTTTTTTAACATGGCTGCTGGTACTGCTGCATTGTAAATATTTAAAAAAGAGAAAAAAATATGTTTGGAAGTTCTGCTTAATAAAGAGAAAAAAGAAAGAGCTGAATAGAGATACAAAAAGATCCCCCGATCACATGAGATTAGTGTTCGTGAGGATTGTTGCTAAGGCCACCCTGCCTTAGAAAAAGGTTAGTATCGCACAAAAGTAACACCAAAAGTAAGTTGCAGTAGAGTACAAACTTCATTCGTTTCACGGAAAAATAGATTATTCAAATTTTTTTTTCTAAAGTGATTGCTTATATCACTTATGAAAATGAACGAATGAAAAATATTTTTATAATCCGTAAAAATGTTCAAACATACATTTTTGTTGATAATGAAAACAATTTCCATTGACTAATTGTTTTAAGTAATACAAGCGATCGTTTTTATAAATTTTCCAAATCATTTTTTTTTCGCCAAGCAAACAAAACCTAAATGATTGACGCTTCCCAAGTTAGAAGTTGTTGGAAGTCCCGAGAAGAAAGTGAAGGTAGCCATTTACGAAGAGATCTCAACAGTCAGACGCTCCAAATTTGCGAAAGTCTAGAATTGCCAATGTTCATTAGTCTAAAAGTGTCGAGTTCAAAAGTGCTCCAAACTTACAAGTTACTTACAGCAAGGGGGATTAGTAGATTAATGAACAGTGATGAAACATGTTGAAATTCGGGTGAGGGGAAATTGACGGTGGACAGAATGTCTCATATCACAGGGACGAGGGCTAGTAATAGCTTGCCACATGTTACAAGGACACGGGCGACACCAAGCCCCACTAGAGATGGTTATACGGCAGGATACGTAAGTCGTGCCTAAAGAGTTCCGCCTATCAAGTCGAAACTGTAGGAGATATCATAGTCCACTCGGAATAACTCAGGATTCTGCCGCTAATTTTACGTCATTCTTGCATAAAGCAATGTTTTGTGGAGCGAACTTACAACAAATCCCTAAGTAAAAATACTTGTTAGTAAGTTTGGAAAATAATAACAATAATATACTTAATTTTGGGCTTAATTAAAAAAAAAGGATTAATACAACGAAAAACTCCAAACTGGTACACATGTAACAATTTTACCCCGAACTAATTTTTTGACCACCAAGGACCCTAAACTGGTACACCTGTGATAAATTTACCCCAAACTATTTTTTTGACCATCGAAAACCCCACACTGGTATACATGTGATAAATTTACTCCGAACTATTTTTTTTACCATAAAAAACCCTACACTGGTACACTTGTGACAATTTTATCTCTAACTAATTTTTTGACCACAAAAAATCCCAAACTAGTACACCTGTGACAATTTTATCCCAAACTAATTTTTTGATCACTAAAAACCTCAAACCGGTACATTTGTGACAAATTTACCTTCCGTTAATGTCCATTAAATTGGATTAATATCACCGAAAATCACAAATTGATAAACTTATGACAAACAAAGGGGTAAAATCCCAAACTGGTATACCCGTCAACTATCACGTGTCATCAACCTTAGAAATTTGACAGTAAAATTTAACGGAAATTAACAGAGGGTAAATTTGTCATAGGTGTACCAGTTTGGGGTTTTTAGTGGTTGAAAAATTTGTTCGGAATAAAATTATCACAGGTGTATCAGTTTAGGATTTTTTGTGATCAAAATATTAGTTCGGGGTAAAATTGTCACAAGTGTACCGGTTTGGGGTTTTTTGTGATCAAAAAAATAGTTTGGGGTAAAATTGTCACAGGTGTACTGATTTAGGGTTTATTGTGGTATTAGCCCAAAAAAAAGCACCAACTTTATTTTGAGTGACAATTTTGGCCCGAATTTTTTTTTTGTCTCATAAAAAATCACAAACTTTCACTTATATCCCAAATCTAGCCCAAACAATTTGAAACTTTCACATCACAAGGGCCTGATTTGAAACTCGAGTAAAATTTGGTGTCTTTTATTGAGACAAAAAAAAGTTAGAGTTAGAATTGTCACTCAAATTAAAGTTGGTGCTCTTTTTTGGAATTAGCCCCTAATTTTGCGTAAAACTGACCAAATTGTGCCACACGTTTTGTCCCTGCACAAGAACCTATGAGTCAAAAAAAAAAATTTGGTACCATGCAAACAAAACAGAATGCTTATAGACATGTTTCTCTTTCGTTTTTTTTAACGAAATGGTGACTATATATAAATTTAATAAGAGCAAATGAGTGCCATGCATATAATAGAGTTTTATGGAAAGCGCCATTGGATTTGTTAGATAAACGTGTTTAAGTTTAATTTATAAATATTTTACGGACAAGATTTGTGGGTGCAAAAAAACAGAAAAATCTGAATCCAATTTGGAAAGAGGCAACAGGCAAACCAAAACATTGAATCAAATTAAACAGGATACTTAAATTGCCTGGTAGTAATTAATCGAGAAAGGAAGTAAATTGGAATCAAAAGATTGGACCAAGCTACTAGACATGGTCAATAAAGAAATAGAATTATATATAGAGACGTAGGGTCAGTTAGTTTGATAAAAAAAAACCATTTTTCAAATAATTTTTTGACTTATCAAGTGTTTGGATGCTGGAAAACGAGTCGATCGACAAAAAGCCATTTCTATGATCTGAAAACAACAAATTTAGATTGGGGTAGAAAGAATTCATTTTCTTTGATTTCTTGCTTGTCCAAGTAAGAAGAATAGATCCCTTTATGTCTATTTCCTTATCTCTCATCAAATTTTTTCTTTTTTTTCTTTGATAACTCTATATGTTTTTTCCATTAATCTTGTCTACCATCCGGAAAAGTGCCAAAAAAGTCATAAACTTTTTGCATTAGTACCAATTTAATCCTAAATCTTTTTTTTGGTGCCAATTCAGTCCTAAACCTTTTGCATTGGTGCCAATTTAGTCCTAAACCTTTTTTTGGTGCCAATTAAGTCCTAAACCTTTTAAATTGGTGCCAATTCAATCATAAACCTTTTGTTTTTGTGCCAATTTAGTCCTTCCGGTCAATTTTGATCGGAATTTGCCGACGTGGACGCCTGCCGGCCGGTCACCGACGCCGACGTGGCACCGATGTGGACAACTTTAATAATATTTTAATATTTTTTTGAATTTTTATTTATTTTTCCTTTTTTTTCTTTTTTTTTCCACTTTTTTTTTGTCCCCCCTCCTTCCTCTGGCCGGTCGCTGGTTCGGCGACCGGCCAGAGGCCAGAGGCCTGCGAGCTCGACCTCGCCGGCCACTGGCGAGGGCGGCGGCCTCGCCCGACCAAGGCGAGGCTCGAGCCCTCGCCGGGCGAGGCCACCGCCCTCGCCAGTGGCCGGCGAGGTCGAGCTCGCCGGCCTCCGGGGAGGGCTCGAGCCTCGCCATGGTCGGGTGAGGCCCGACCTCGCCGGATCTGGCGAGGTCGAGCCTCGCCCGACCAAGGCGAGGCTAGCCCTCGCCGGGCGAGGCCGCCGCCCTCGCCAGTGGCCAGCGAGGTCGAGCTCGCCGGCCTCTAGCCTCTGGCCGATCGCCGGACCGGCGACCGGCCAGAGGAAGGAGGGGGGGACCAAAAAAAAAGTGAAAAAAAAAGAAAAAAAAGGAAAAAAAATAAAAATTCAAAAAATTATTAAAATATTATTAAAGTTGTCCACATCGGCGCCACGTCGGCGCCGGTGACCGGCCGCCGGTCGGCAGGCGTCCACGTCGGCAAATTCGGGTCAAAATTGATCGGAAGGACTAAATTGGCATAAAAATAAAAGGTTTAGGACTGAATTGTCACCAATTTAAAAGATTTAGGACTTAATTGGCACAAAAAAAAGGTTTAGGACTAAATTGGCACCAATGCAAAAGGTTTAGGACTGAATTGGCACCAAAAAAAGGTTTAGGACTAAATTGGCACTAATGCAAAGAATTTAGGACTTTTTTGGCACTTTTCCCATTTCTTAAATATACTTCATTGATGCTCACGTTCTTCTACATTCTCAAAAACACCGTCGCATATAGTATTTTACAAATATGATCTCATAATTTTTTTTCAATTTCTATGTAATTCTTGTTATTTTGATAGATTGCAGAATAGACAAAGAAGGTGTCGATATGAGTTGATTTTAGTGGATGCACTTATTATCAAATACCATAAAATCAGTTTGTTTTGTCAACTTGTTTTCAACAACAAATAAACATCGGAAAATGATTTATGTTTTCCAAATCTTAATTTCATGAAAATATTTTCCAACGACAGAAATTTCTTAGTGAAAAAAACAGACTCGTAATTATACTTGAAATAACGAAAAAGCAACCTAAAGTATCATGACAAAACCCCGCTTCTTTTCGAATGCGTGATTTTCTTTTTTTAATTTGCGAACAAATTACAATATGTAAAAAATTATATTCAAATAAGAAAAGCGACCATCCTCTCCAAACAAATAAAAGAGTTTCAAGAGAACACAAGTAGTTACATAACTTAGAAAATGAAAAAATCAAACGAGTGAATTCGATGGAATCCCGACCAAACAAAATTCTCTGCAAGTGCAATTGCGGGGCCCAGTGTAACGGTGGTTGTGGTGTTCAACCGCCGCCGTGATGACGGCAGTGGAGAGAGAGAGAGAGGTGACGTGGACTCCACGCTCGTCGAAGCAAAGTTGATTTTTTTTATTAGAACTATATTCGACAAAAAAAAAAAGACAATAATAATCTTATAATGTTTTTCGAGAATCATTTGGTCTGGTTAGGTTGGCACCGGGAAGGCGAAGGCCTCGAGACCGTGGAGAAAGGGATGCCTTCTGCTTTCTCCGTCATCGGTCGTTTATGAACTTTCCTGCGAAAGATCGTGATGACGACGAAGACGAGCGCGTTGGTCTGCAACTTCTCGTGTACTTATTGATCGTTCACACTGGGAGGACCGAGGTGACTACCAACGCCTCCGCATCAATGTTTTCGGCTATGACATGTTCAGAAACTTCATTCGAGACTAATGGGTCTCCGTTGCTTATTCGCCAAAACGGTTCGCACGTCATCGCTCACGACTCGGTTCAGCGCTCAACGGCGATCGAGGACGCTAGGTGCAGAGCCAAATTGCGTGCCTGCCATGTCGGATTCGAACTCGAGGTCTGACCCTGTCCTCTATTTTCGCCCACTTTTTCCTTTGCGTGTCGTGATGTTCCGCCCAATCTGGAGGAATGAAAACCTCTGGAATCAGTGAGCTTAAGTTATTTTTGGGCGGGTGTTCTGTTTTTTGTCATGTTAATGACTTGCTGCTAATAAAGCAAATGATCTATTGACTGTTCGTATCGATCGAGAGGACTTTCGGCGCTGTTTCTTTCGTTCACCTTGTTTCCGGTCTTTCGGACCGTTTTCCAGACGAATGTCACCGCGGGAGTGTCTGAATTTGCGTTCCCTGTTCGTCTTTTTATCTTTTACTTTTTTGTTTTTGTGGTAGCTTCTGTCTTCAAGTGCCTGAGGCTAACCTGTACTCTCTTTTCCCGGGTATTTGTCAGGGTTGCTGCTGATATGGACTGCAATGGCAATGCGCAATCGGTTCCAGTTGGAGTAGACTATGCTGAAATAGTTGTCGTGCGTCACGGTGAAACGGACTGGAATGCTGATGGAAGATTTCAGGTTTTCTATGGTTCTGGATTTCTCTCTAGCCTTCTAATTTTGTAGAAATTGCTGATTACCATATAGACGGTTGCATGTAGTACTATTTGATATTTGCCCTTTTGTGACAAACGAATAGGTTACAGTGCAAAGGCATCATTTTGGTGAATGACATCAGTTCTTGTCAAGCTATGTAGCTGCATTGGGCTACATATATCTGTAATTGCATTGTGAATCCACCAGTACAAGCCTTTGCTTGAGAATACTATGTTGATTTTCATGCTTCTCTTTTCCTATATAAAATGGAAACCTGTGATGGCAAGGTAACATTCAGGGTGAGCCCAAAAGATGATAGACAAGATGTAATGGCAAAGAATATGTACACTCTACCGCTAAGGTTTTATTTCTTCTATTACAGCTTTTGTGATAAAGTGATCAATATTCATTCCATGATAGGACGTGCCTAATAAGATCAGAGAAAAAGCATTACTGAGTTGTGGTTTCTCCGCATTTATGCGTGGGTTTAAGCAAATATATCTCTAATTGTGCTGATATCTGCCATCTTATGCATTTTGCTTAAGAACTGGTTTCTGCCTCTTTCTCTATCTACCTTCAAATTGCTTTATTTCATTACATTTAACAGGGAACTCTGGATGTCGAATTGAATGCAATTGGAAGGCAGCAAGCAATTGCAGTGAGTATTTTCTGTGATATATCATCCCTTTCTTTGGACTGACCAATAGGTTTATTAACATCTTCTGTTATTTTCCCTGAAAGGTGAGTGAAAGGCTGTACAGAGAAGGTAAAATCTCTGCAATTTACTCATCTGACCTAAAACGAGCTTTGGAGACGGCAAATATGATTGCAACTGCTTGTGGTGGACTAGAGGTATGTAGTGAGACTGTTCTTGATCTGGCATTATATCTATGAGAATTACACGTGAATTTTGGCATTATCCATTTAGTGTTACAAAACCCAACGTATACCTATATTTCAGATAGTAATGTAGAGCTAAAACTTTTCATTACATGTTATCTTTATTTGTTGGAAAGTTCATAATGTTGTAAAAGTTTGTGTTCATTCTTACAGTTCAATTAATGATTGGGTCCTCTGAAATACCTTGCATGTTGTTTTCAAATGAGAATCTAGGTTATCACGGATCCAGGTCTACGGGAAAGAAATTTTGGGGAGCTTCAAGGCCTTCAGCCACATGTTGCAGCTAGTGTCTGTCCTGAAGCCTATAAAGCCCTTCAATCGCAGAAGACGGATCAAGAAATTCCGGTGGGTTTTGATTTGCACAGAGCTTGACATAATGCACCTGATTTTGATCAATTTTCATTTTGCCACTTAACTTTCAGTATGGAGACTATGCATAATGTGGATATTTCCAACTTTATAGTTTTTGATGTTGGAGTTGTTCAATGGTTCAAGTGACATGTTCTTTTCTATATGTTGTATACACAGCTATAAGAATTTCAGTCCCATTCTTTTGACTGTTTAATGGATTCAGTCCCTTTCTTTTGTTTAATCTGTAAAACATAGTAAAGCTCGAATGTCTCATGTGAGCCATTACAAAACAAAGGATTACAACATAAACATTTATTAAGATTTTGGCAGTCTGCAGGGTTCAAGTTGGTTCATAAGTGGAATGCCTAACAGTGTTTCTCTTGTTTCTTCTGCACGCAGGGTGGTGGTGAAAGTATTGATCAGCTTTATCAGCGCTGCACTATGAGTTTGCGAAACATTAGCATAAAGCACAAAGGTAAAGAGATTATTTACGTTGCTTATTCCCCAGAATTGTGGAGTGTTCTGCTAACCAAAGTTTTATACATGAAAGTGGCTCCTTGCTTAGTGTGTGTTGTTTGGTCGAAAAAGCTCCATAACTTTCATTACGTAATAGCCCGAGAGAAGACAGTACTAGCTTCAGAACATAGCAGCTCCAAAAGAGTAGAGGGGGGATAAGATACCTATTCAAAGGTAGGGCTTTGTTGCGGTGGGGCTTTAACAACCCGATCCGCAACCTTATTACACCCTCTTTTGCAGTGGCCTATCTTCAAAGACTGAAACTTCTCCATACTGTTTGCGGATGATTTAATACTATTTCTGGATGGAAAAATTTCTGAGTGTCTGGATGTTGCCGCGGTTTTGCCTTGCTCCGAGCAGGCCATTAATCTCAACAAATCAGGTATGTTTTTCAGCAAAGATTGCCCCCAGAACTTGAGACGCAATTTGAGCTCTGAGATAGAAAAGACTAGGAAATACTTGGGAATTCCATCTAATTGGGGCTGTTCTAGAAAGGAGATGTTTGCCTGGATTATTGCAAGAGTTAACTCAAAATTAGAGGGCTGAAAAGAAAAGTTGATATCAAAGGCAGGGAAGGAAATTCTGTTAAAAGTGGCGGTACAAGTGATACCACAGTACGCAATATCCATATTTAAAATTCCCCTTTATATTTGTCATGCCGTTGAATGAAAGATTGCAGCGTTTTGGTGGAAAAACAGTGAAAATAAATGGGTTTGCATTGGAGAAAATGGGAGCTCTTGAAAGCAAGAACAGATGGAGGACTGGGGTTTAGAGACTTAATCAAGTTTAATGAGACAATGTTAGGGAAGCAAACATGGAGATTAATTCAAAACCCATATACTTTTTGGAGCAAGGTCTTTAGAGGTCTATACCATCCACATAGTGATTTTTTACACTCGTTGAATAGTGTTGACTGGGCACTATAATACTCATATTTTGCCAGTTAGAATCTCCGCAGCTTCTTTTAAAGGAGTTTTTCCCGGATTACCTTTTTCAGTCTCGAAAACTAAGCATCACAGGACTTGGTGAACAGCTTTAGTTGTTGTTTTAATGCTTCCTAGGACTTTACAGATGCTCTTTGCTTTTAAATGCTCTTTCTTTGGTTTGCTTGCTTTGTTATTGAAGAAGAAAGACTAGGACAATGACAAACATGATTTAAATGCGCTCTCCGTTCACTAAGAATTTCTCCTACAATTTAAGCTGGAAACAGAAATTGCAAATAAAACTTATCTTCACTGCGCAGGAGAGCGAGTAGTAGCGGTCACTCATGGTGGTGTACTCCGAACGCTTTATACGCGGGCTTGCCCAAATAAACCGCCTGTGAGGTTCTTGAATACTTCTGTCAACATTTTCCACTTGTCCGATGGGGACAACTGGGTCTTCAAATCCGGAGGTGATGTTAGTCATCTCAGCCAAATAGAATATCTGAGAACAGGGTTTGGTGGGGATAGAAGTTCTGGTTAGATCAAACTATTCTGGATGCTGTTCCGGTAGCCCTACCTGTAATGAGGTACGATAAGCCTTTCTGAGAGGCATGATTCACTCACTTGTTATTGTCTTAAAGGATAATTTCATTCTTGGTCCTCATGTTATGCCATTTGTCCAATTTGAGTCCTTGAATTCTCAATTTGCGATATTGGATCCTTTAGTTTTTGTCGTTTCTGAAATCGAGTCATTTTTTCCTTAATTAACTCAACCGTTCTAACATGGCTACTGAAAGGGCAATTTTAAATATTTGAAAAAGAGAAAAAAAAAACAGAGCATATGTTTGGAAAATATGCTTAATAAAGAGAAAAAAAGAGCAGAACACAAAAGGAAAAAGGATGAAGAAAAGTTTTGTTTTAAAATATAGTTTTAATGAGCTTGAATATTTCAAATTAGCAATTAAAACAAATTCTACCATTTTTTGTAACTCTTCCTATTAAGTATGTCATACCCTCAGGCTCCGTTTGTTTCGCGAAAACTATTTTCAGGAAAACGTTTTCCTCTTTTTCCGACGTTTGATTCGCGTAGGAAAATGAGTCATTGGAAAATATTTTTCTACCAAAACTTAAATTTAGGAAAATGATTTCCATTTTCGAAAATCAAAAGTTATTTTCCAAAATATAACTAGATAGCAGCGCGTGGACAAGCAACTTTATGTTTGGGCATGGGAACCCCAATGCTCATTCCCGCGTCCTTGGCAGTAGTGCCGGGACCCCGGTGTCCTGGGCCTGGGTCTGTCGAGGCTGGGCCTAGGATCATCTAAGTGGCGCCCGAGATCCTAGCATACGTGCCCAAGTCCATCGAGGCCGAGCTCGGGACACCGGTGCGTGGGATATGCTAGGCCCGAAAATTGCTGACATGGACGTCAGATGTTCTACACGGCACGATTAGCAATGACATGTACAATTTTTACAATTTTAAAAAAATCGAATTTTTTAATAAAATTTATTTTATTTCTTCTTTTCTTTCTTCCTCCGTCTGTTCCCGGGCCTCGCTGATGGCGGGCGATCGGTCATGGGAGAGGGCCGGCGACCTAAGGCCGACGAGCTCGAGCCTCGCTCGATCCCGACGAGCTCAAGCATTGTTGGCCTCGAATGAGGCTCCACCTCACCAAATCCGACGTGGTCAAGCTGGAACTCTAGTCTCGTCGACCTTGGACGAGCTCAAGCCTTCGCCCCGAGGTCGACCCTCACCGACCTCTCCTGTGGACGGTTCAGCCACTGGCGGAGAAAGAAAGAAAAAGAAAAGGAAAATAAAGAAAAAATAACAAATTAAAAAAATTATTAAAAAATTCGAATTCAAGTTTTTTAAATTGTGAAAGTTGTCCATATCACCACCAGCCATCCTACTAGCACGACCGATGTTTGTGTGAGCAATTATTGTAATCTTCCCACCCGAATAATGCAGGTCTATATAGGAATATCAAGATTTTCTTTACCAAATGACAGAAACATTTTTCCAGTTCATTTTCAGATTTTAACTAAACATCAGAAAATATTGTCATTTTCCAAGAAAATGACTTTTCGAAAAACATTTTCCTCGAAATAAACGGAGCCTTATTGTTTTAAATATCTCTATGTCATAAAAAAAACCAATTAGAAATTTTCTAATTATGATGAAGTCCAGATATTTTATATCATAAAGAATTTCGTCTTTATTTTATTTAAAAGAGCAAAATTCATATAAAATAATATACAATATAACAGATAATTTACTCAAAGTACATATTCCAACTTTACTCAAATAAAAGATTAAGGCTCGCAAAACATATGCATACGTGACATAAACATATACATATTATTATTTTTTTGTTAATACCACGGAAAACCTCAAATTGATACATTTGTGACAAATTTACCCCAAACTAATTTTTTGACCATCAAAACCCCAAACTGGTACACCCGTGACAAATTTACCCACCATTAGTTTTCGTTAAAATTTACTGTTAAATTACTGAGTTGGATGACAAGTGGTAGTTAACAAGTATACCAGTTTGGGGTTTTACCCTTCGTTTGTCAAAGGTGTACCATTTTGTGATCTTTCGTAATATTAATCAAATTTAACGGAAACTAATGGAGGGTTAATTTGTCATAAATGTACCGGTTTGGGATTTTTAGTAGTTAAAAAATTATTTTTGGGGTACATTTATCACATATGTGCCAGTTTAGGGCTTTTGGTGGTCAAAATATTATTTGATGTAAATTTGTCACAGGTGCACTAATTTTGGGTTTTTCGTGGTATTTGTTGGGAAAATTCTTATGTTGTTTTAACGATAACAATGACAATCAAAGGCTACTAATATGTGTATTGATTGAGTAGTGCTAGGTGATATATGCACAAGCCGAGATACAGATGTTTGTCATAAACAGCACCAGAACATTCTAATAACTATCTAGAGTGCTTTGCCAATACCTAAGTGAATAAAATATTGAATAATTGAAGATGTCTACAAGTTAGAAGATCTTCAGATAAGGGGGACATCCGAAAGGATCTTGATCGAGAGTGAACAAGTCGAGAAGAACGGGGATGTTCATGATGGCTTGGAGGTACAAAGATTGGGTGAATAGTTGGATGGACATGGTGATGGTGAACAAGCCTAGAATGATGATTTTTGGTAAAGCTTGGAAGGATCATGAAGATAAACAGCTTGGTAGAGTCAAAATTACCAATATGCTTGGAATGATTAGAAAGATGAGCATCATTATTAGGTGCAACGGATTTCTAAAGATCAGCAACATGAAGATGTTTCATCGAAGCTGAAGAGATCAGGTCATTCATGCTATTATAGCAACGGATCATTGAGTATAACCGTTGGTTCACTATTATAGTCGTTGAAGGGTGGAGCTGCACAACGGAAGATTGGGAAGTCTATCGGGGAACAGAAGCAAGCCTCTGTCAGAAATGTTAGAGCAATTAGCGTTAGGACAGTAGCTGCAGAAGCTATTTTAGGTAGCCTACAACTATTCAGGATAGACTGTATGGGCAATCCCATCCTCGGACAACAACACCAACGGATCTATAACGGCCAATTGATCTTCTCACGCATCTCCAACGGGAAGATTTAAGATGTCTATTTAAGAGAAAAGCTTCCAAGCCAAAATGTTAGAGAGCACAATATAGAATTCAAATATTTGCTTTGAGCTGCATTCTCTGTTGATATTGTTTCGTTCTCTTGAAAGATCTTCTCCGTGATAATCTTGCCGTTTAGTAATCGTGTGAAAGATTAAGTGTACAAAAGTAAGTGATATAGCTGAGTCCTGATAGTGCAATCAAGTTAAAGTTTTTGGTTTTTTAGGGTATTAGGCCCTTTTAAATTATTCCTTGATGTTCAAGTGACTCGAAGAATTGCTTACTTTTTCTAGGGAAATATTTCAGTACTATGTTCCAAGCAAAATTTATTAATGTCGCAAGCTGCAAACATGCGATAATTGTCGTTATATGGTGCTGTAATCACGGCTGTCATCAATCCACCTGTGCTTGTCCCTGCAATTATGTCAAAGTGACATGATTTCTCGCATCTGGTCCATCTAGTTCCTGTAAATTCTGTTGACTATAAACCACCGATATGATCACCATAAAAAAGAAAGACTATTCATATAAATGTAAGTGCTCATGTTGACTCTGCGACACAATCTGATACAGCTTCCTAATAATAGCTACAATGTGACAAGGGATATTGCTAATTTTATATGATACTTGACAAACTCTTCATAATTGCATCACCATCAAATCCGCGATAGTTTATGGAGCTTTCAGAAAGCTTCCCCACCCAGCTTTCACCGAGCTACCCATACCGATCTTGTAATCAGGATGGGAGACTGCCACACTTAATAGTATACTAGTTGGTTGTCGACCGTCCAACATCATCCACAAAGAAAATATTGACAAATAAAATAAGTGGATGCTATTACTTGAAGCTTGGATTCGAGAAAGGCAAGGATCGTACCGGGAATGATCCTTCTCACGCCACCTCCATCAATGCTCAGCACCGTCACCATCTTCCCGCTTGGAGATCCACTTCTTACCGTGGACATGACTGAGAAGAACTCGGCTTAAAGAAGAATCAAAACACAAAGTGTTGTTCTCAAATTAATCTGAAATTAATAGCAGTTAAGATACGTGTAATATTATATATTGATGGGAACCTATCCTTATGGTATTTGCACGGAAAGCTTATATGGAGGTAGTTTATTGTATTCGACGATTCTTGAAAGTTAGGTTTAGGAAGTAAATAATTCTATAAGAGTAAGAATATGCGACATGGGTAGAAGCCTCTAATTTCGTCGATTGGGCCAACTGATGGGAGTGCTAAGCGGCAACCTTGAAAGAGGGGAAGGTTTGCCGGCATCAAAGCTCTAAGGATGGGTGTTCTGTACCAGCTCGAACCCCCACGGCTATAGAAGAGACGGGATAGCTTGAATGAAACTGGAATCCTCTGGGAAGTTGGAATAAATGAGCTCTCCACTAGAGATGTGCACTGGTCCCTGTCCAACTAGGAATCGACCGGACCGGATTAAACCATCAATTTTGGGTGATTCCTAGTTTCAAATATTTGGAATCAGGAATGACCGATCAGGTTCCTGATTTCATAAAAGAAACTGGATCGACTAGACTGATTGACAGGCCAAAACTTCTTAACTTTTTTTAATTTTTTAATTTGAAGCCCTCTAATTAGTAAATTATTTTTAGTTTGAAGCACTATGTTGGAAAACTCTCATTCTAAGGAATAAAAGAAGTCACCGATTCTAGGACCGACCTTGAAACCAGATCCGATTGGTGGGTTCGGTCCTGTATGGTTTCAGGATAAGGTGGGTCGGTTATTGATTCTACAAACTAGGAACTAATGATGCTCGATACCACCCGTCTGGGTGGCGCTGCTGGAAAGGGCACTCTTCCTCTCGCAAAAGGTTGAGTGTTCGAATCCCGGGCGTCGCAGGGTGACTTAACCGGTGCACGTGTGTGGTGGCTAGCACGTGTCGCCTCCAGGGTTTACCTCCCGGCTGTCGGCCGTGCCGGGGTTCCCTGGGTTACCAAAAAAAAACTAATCATGCTCGATTCGATTTCAGATTCCAATATTAGAATCGACCCATCTTAGAACCGATCACCCCTTCTCTCCATTGTGCCTAATCAATTATTGAACTCTATCTATTCGTGACTTCTATTGTTGTCACGCCT